AACCTCGAAATTCAACTGAAATAATTATTTCCCTTTCATTTTCCTTTGGTTATCTAACTAATGCATAAAAAAAAGATAGGGGGAAGCCTTCCAACTCATCAAACTTGAGCTAATGAGCCTCTTTGAACCCACAGGATCAACTAATTATTCTCAGCATGCGCTTTTAGAGTATCTCTATCATGGAGATGCGGACTCATTTTTTTTTTTTCGCCTTTCTTTTTAGTGGTCGGTTAGATTTTCAATTACATCACATATTGTATACTTGAAAGATATAAAGTTGCAGAAAAATGCTACATTACCAACATAATGTACAACTAGGTTGACAACACAAGTAAAATCTAGTTGTATACTAGGTTGACGATGTAACATTATTTAAAGTTGCATTAATAATAGATAAGAAAAGTAATACTAGCATGACAAAATACACAAACTTCCAAAATAAATTCTTTTCAATGGTCAAACCCATAAAACTCATTACCAACTGGAGTCAAATAATTCTACAAGATCTTGGACTTTTAAGATTCTTTTTCGGACTTTCTCAAACCCATCAGTTGATGGAATTTTCAACATTAGGTGGGGCCCACGCCCACCAAAAGGCAGCAAGAGAAAAGAAACAAAATCTTCATCGTCTCATTCGTCGCCTATAATTAATTAATTTGCAATTTCATCATCATTCATGCCAAGAACACAATAAGGATCATAATAAACAATTATTATTAATTAATAGATGTGTAGGGAAAGAAGAGGTGGTGTTGCGGTTGCCGCCACGGCCTTGGTGATGATGATGGTGATGGTAAATGTGGGCCGAGCCCAGCTGCAGCCGCAGACCCATATTGTGCCTTGGGATATACTCGCCGTCCCGTATGCAAATTTGAGCGTGGCAGTGAACGACTTTGTTGGTAAGAATCATAACCGTTGCAAATTTGATCAATGGCTATGTTTGGTAAAACTAACTGATAGCTTATATGTAATTTTTGAGCTTATAACTTATGACTTATAGCTGAAAAACTAGCTTATATAAAAAAAGTGTTTGGTAAAATTAACTGATAAGCTAGCTGAAATAAAAAATTCAACTAGTTCATTTGAAAAGCTACTTAAAGTAGCTTATGAGAGAAGCTCGAGCTTATTAAAAAAGCTCGTACTACCAAACTGAGACTTATTTAAATACATAGAGCTTATAAGCTGACCAAATAAGCTATAAACTAGTTTATTTGGCTTACCAAACATAGCCTATATATGAATTTGTTTTATATACTCCACAAGGATAAGGCTGAGTGAAATGGATATTGACGTTAAATTTGCGTTGGGTGGTTTAATAATACAGTGTTCCAATATGACGTTAATGTCCACAATGTGTTGAAGGTGAATGCATATTGTAATAAATACACAGTCATTAGTTTAGTTAGTTAGCATGAAAAATAAGTTTGTTCATGCAGTTAGCAGTAACCCTAATTAGCAAGGTAGTTAGTGTGCTGCGAGCATTGCGTGTATAAATACACTCTCTGGTTCATCATTTCTCAATAATGAAATACGTGAGATTGTTTTCTCTTCTCTGTTCCTCCATGGCTTTCTTAAGCTTCAACATGGTATCAAGAGCCAGATCTACTGTTTTCTGATTTTTTTTTTCTCTCTCTGCTCGTCATGGCTGATACATCGGCGTTGGGTGCTCTTCCTCATCTCATTCCCCTGCCTCTCCGTTTGGATCGTTCCAATTTTCTGTATTGGAAAGTGCAAATACTCTCAACTTTTTGTGCTCATGGTCTCGAGGATTTTCTTCTCAATCCTTCTTCTCCGGCGCAATTTTTACCTGCTATCTCTGGATCTTCTCCGGCGATAAATCCGGCGTTTACCAAATGGATGCGTATTGATCAACTTTTACTGAACTGGATGTTGGCTTCTATTACGGAGTCAATGCTTGGACATCTCACGCGATGCTCTTCTTCTGCTCAGGTCTGGTCGGTCTTAACTCAGCTCTTTCATTCTCAATCCAAGGCTCGGATTCTGCATCTAAAGTTTCAACTTCAAACCCTAAAGAAGGGTGACCTCTCTATTGATGATATGTGTTGAAAATGCGTACAATCGCGGATGAATTACACTCTATTGGTCACCATATCACTGATGACGATTTGGTTATGAATATCCTTAGTGGATTGGGCTCTGATTTTGAGGCTGTCGTTGTAAATCTTACTTCTCGTTTGTTTGCGATTTCTCTTGCTGAGGTTCAATTTACACTTCAAACTCATGAAATGTGGCTCAACAGCCAAACTGCTCCTTCTCTGCTTGCTTTTCCGGCCACTTCTCCATCTCCGGTATCTCAAAATTCTCCGGTTGCAAATTTTGCTCGTGCTCGTGGTAGCTCTTACAGAGGTCGTGGTAGGAATAACCGTGGCCGTGGAGGACGGTTCTACAACAACAATGACAGGATTATCCGTCAATTGTGTGGCAAGGCAAATCATGTAGCTCTCAAATGCTACAAACGTTTTAACATAAGCTTCACAGGCCAAGACAGTGGTTCCTTTTCTCCTCAAGCTCACCTGGGTGATTCTGGTCCATCTTCTTCCACTGTGGCTTCTTCTAGCATTGCTGACCCTAACTGGTATTTTGATAGCGGTGCTACAAATCATCTTACTGCCAATCTCGAGAATTTATCTCTTCATGCTGCTCCATACACTGGTAAGGACAAGGTTACAGTTGGAAATGGTTCTAAAATCCCCATATCTCACATTGGATCCTCTACTTTACCCTCAACTCATTCTTATCCTGTTCTTCTTAACAATATTCTACTTGTTCCTCACATTACAAAAAATCTTCTTAGCATCTCACAGCTCACTAAAGATAACAATTGTTATTGAGTTTCATGCTGATTTTTGTCTTGTGAAGGACAAGATAACACATCAAGTGCTGCTGAAAGGAGTGCTTAGAGATGGTCTCTACCAGTTGGATCTCTCCCAGCATGCAGCACTTCTTCATCAACTTTTACCTCCTCAGTCTTCAGTTTCATGTTCTCCTTGTAATTTTACCTCTTCTTCTACTAAAACTGCTCTCAGTGGTGATGAACTGCTTCAATGGCACAAAAAACTTGACCATCCTTGTTCTAATGTTTTCAGAACTGTCATGAATAGCTTAAACTTTTCTGTACCTTCTAGCTTACCTTTCTGTGATGCCTGCAAGCTTGGTAAGCTTCATCAACAACATTTTATTTCTCAGACTAGAAAGACTTCTTTGCCTTTTGAACTTGTGCATACTGATGTGTGGGGACCCTCTCATGTTGTTTCAGTTGATGGTTATAAGTACTATGTTCATTTCATTGATGATTTTACTCGGTTTACTTGGATTTTTCCATTGAAGTCCAAGTCTGAAGTTGTCACTGTATTCAAACATTTTCTCACTTTTGTTCATACTCAGTTTAATACCACTATCAAATGTGTTCAAT